ATGATTTTGGGGTCTGCTAATTCATGCAGTTTAAAAAGAAAAACACAGATAACTTGCAACTTCTCTGTGATTTAATTTAAGTTTAGAGATCAGGACATACCAGATCATGGACTTTATAAGTCTAAGAGTTCTTGTGCTCAGGTTTTTGCACTTGCTCTTGACACAGGCTCAAACTTGTTGTTCCAGTCTGTTATCCAGTCATGGCAAAAGTTTTGTGATTGATATTTTCATTTCAGATAGCCTATCAGATCATAGTGTTCTGATGTAATTCCAGCTGACTCTCCTTCAGAACTCACGCGATTAAAGGGTGTGGACAGGTATGCAAAACCCCTTTAACCAACCTGTGTCTGTCACGGTATGTTAAACCCTTCCCTACTCAAACCCAGGAAATTTTGCAATGAAAGGCATTTCCCAAAACTGCCAGAGCAGAACACAACTGTCTGCATATGCTGTTAAAGACTCCCTCACTTCTAACGTTTGACAAGAACGATCAGTTTTGTATCTAAAAAGAGAACGCTGAGCTCTTCTGCATGACTTTGTCATTCCTAAATCTCCTGACACTCCACCCTCCCCAGTTCAGCATCCCTCTGAGTAAAGCAAACAGAGCACTCTAAGAGGTGTTGTTATAATTAGGGTGATTATAATGGGGTGGGGAGATATTGTCAGTTGCCAAGGATTTCTGTGTAATATCAGCGAGAATGTACCGTGAAGGAGAGACTCGCAATGAATGGATTTTCACTGCATTATTCTCACCTAATGTTTACTCACATAGGCTTATAAAAAGTGGCAACACATTTTTCAGCCCAAACCAGAGAGGTTCTGAGCGAAAGACTACAAGGAGTGCAAATGCCCTCAAAACCAGCCTTCACAGCAGAAGCAGGTTATGTTTTACTTTTTCCAGAACAGATTTCTCTTTATTCCTTCTTCAGGACAGAGAAGGTGAGAGAAGACTCTCCTTCCTTGGATCAACCTGTATTTGCCTCCTCTGCCCTGATCCAGCAAACTGCTCTGCACTTGTGTGTGTTCCACTTGTGCTCACACAAAGTCCCACTGACTTTGGTGAGAAAACATGTGGGAATGAAGCATAACTGTTTGCCAGATTGGCTGCTTCGGCTCTCCCTCTGCATTCTTGTGCTTCACTGCATGCGCTGCAAGAAGTCCCATTAGCTTGGACTGTAACGCATCCCAAGGGCTGGATCTGTCTTTGTATCTCTATCTTGCAGAGCACTGGGAACACTGCTGGCACTTTGCTAATACATGCCATAAACTTATATAATAAATGAGAGGTAATTTCACATCAATCTCTTCGAAATAGCACACACACCATTACATGAAGACAACACTTTCTTGCTATTTAAGACTGCTTTTCAGAAAACGTCAGCATAACCTGTCAGAATAACAGCTGCGTTAATGATCCAGCCATCCTCAAGCAGGTTTGATCTTGCCTTGGAATTTAAGCAGCTGGTGTGTCTACAAAAGACTAACAAGGCTGCGCCACTGTGCTTTCCGTTTGAGGGGATATTACCCTAGATGAAAGATCAGGCATATTTTCCAGTGTCTTGGCAAGAGAGGATAGCAAGATCTAACTGATCTATATCTCTTCAGCAATCTCTCTCTCTGTCCTTACACTGTCAACAACGATAAAGACAGCTAATCGTTATGAACTATAGCTAAGAGCTGCCTCTTAATCATCAAGGGAGCTCCAGAGATAACACTGTCAGCCTGATTATTCTAATCCAGTGTATGCAATTTAAAAGGCATCATCAATGGGGAGCAGTGCTGCAAGACTCAAATGATTCTTCGATGTCAACAATAAGAAGAGAAAAGTTAAACATACATGGTAGTAGTTCTCTATCTGCAGTTTCTGTACAAATAGGGTAAGGGTAGAAAAGATGTCCTTTTTCCAGTGGATAGGGGATCATTCTGAAAGCTGAAAAGAAAACAACACCATGCACAAGTTACTGTGAGTGGAGCAGCCACTGGACATACTTAACTATATTTACAATTTTGAAAAACAAACATAGACAAAACATAACATTTCTATTTGGTTGCAAACAGCATATAAATTGTTTAATGAAATGCCAAAATATAAATCTACACTTAGCTTTTAATCCTGCAAACACTTATGTATTCTTGGGAGAAGGTTCATAAGCATCAGGTGAGACCACATTACAAGTACACACATAAATATTTGCACGATCAGAGTCCGTTGTATTTACAGTTCCATAGCCAAATTTACACATTTTGTCTTAGGCTTTTATGCTGCAGATTTTTAAAATTTCAGGGGAAAGAAGTGTATCTGATATAGTGGGTATAGCCCACAAAAATGACCAGCCAAGCTTGTGAGTTCAGGCCAATACTCACAGTCTCTGTGCATCAAGCATACTAGAAGTTATGCATGGAAAAAAGTACACTACGTTTTTCCCATCACACTCCAACAAACCAGGTAACACTGATGACTCAAGCCCAGAGAACCAGTTTTCCAGCACAGTCATGTTTTCATTTTGTATTTGGCAATCAAAGATTAATACTGAGTTATTAAAACCAGGTTCCTCACATGCATTCTTTTTAAATGTAGCAGATCAAGTCAGGATTCCAATATAAATCTTCAGGTCATGGATTAAATAATACTTAATCTCATGCATTTTTAAAATTGAAAATAATAACAGAGAGGGAGGGAAATGGATTACTAAATCTGGATAGCGATGATGTCATAGGCCATCTGAGTGTGGTTTATGGTAACATCACAATACTTGACTGAATTACAGCTTTGCAATCAAGGCATCCTTTTCCATTATCCTATATATTATTCTCAATGTTAAAATGACATCAACGTGTTATTCTCACTATTCCTATGAACATCAGTCACTGAAGCAGTATTTTCCTCAACAGATGTCCTAGAACCACTGTGTATTTTAGATGTTAGGTACAGCCCACCACCACACAATAACACTGCATTATCTCTTGCTCACAAGACAACTGAGATATTGGTTCAAAACACACAATATCCCAATATTTTCAGTTGTGCACGCTGCATTTGAAATAATGTTAGCTGTATTTTTTGTGCCATTATATGAGCATATTTATTCTTGGTCACTGTTTAAAGCCATAGTAAAGAAGGCAGAAATCCTCAAAGACCCCCTCTCCATAGCATCCCCAGAAGCCAAATACAAATACAGTAATCCAAGCCTTGTATGATCTTCATATGCAACAAACTTGAGTGTCTGTACAAAAACATGTGGAGGGATGTTCAATGCTCATTACTTCAAAATCACTAACACAAGTTTTTCCATCCAGTTTGGCTTAATATTTAAAATGACAATCAAGCCTCTTCTGCCTTACCCTAAATCACAGCAGTATTAAGATTCTAATAAAAATAAAAAGAGATGGTAAAGATGTTGCTTTTACAAACAAAAAGTGAAAAATGTCTGAACAGATTTTGCTGAATTTAAATAGTCATTTTGGCGTGAGACCAAATATGGAACATTTAGAGCAAAACAGTTTATTTAGCAATATTAACAGCCACGGAAGAAAGCGCTCTGGTTCATCTGCATCAGTTTGTGTTTACATAGGTACTTCTCTGTCTTAATCTTACAGTATTATCTGATCCTATTTTAGGTTAATCAATTCAGGTAGCACGGAGGCAGTTTGCCATTCAACTGTGTGCTTGTGGTAAAAGCTACCGTACTATCTGAGAACCCCTAGGTTTTTCTTCTTCATGCAAGCAATAGGAAAGATGACACAAGCTTAGAAACTGACAGTGACAAACAAGCACCTCAGACTCTTCTGAAATTTGGTTACGCTTCAAACTACAGACCTTCTGTACAGAGCTCCGGGACCAAACCCAGAGCAACGTTTCACATGGTGTCACTTGCGCTTTTTTTAGTTGTACTATGAATAAAACTGTACTTTGACTGATCAAATGAAGACAGAGCAGGAAACAACCAACGTTCCAGTTCAATGATGATCATTATGTTTATAACCTCACTTTTCTCAGTTGTTGAATGCTACTTGGGAAAAACATTTGGTGAGAATTTTGGAGTTTATAATATCATGAAGATATTTCTGCATAAATTTTGTTAAAGGCTGTCGTAATTAGGAAGTGACCTTATTCTCCTCAGAAGCATTCAAAACGTACCCCCTCAAGTGACTGACTTAAAGTACTTAATTCTGCCCAATTCCCAGAATCGAGTAGTGTGTATATGTAGGCATTAAATTCCTGCATACAAGCTACTAAGGTGAGACTTGTGGTTATTTAAGCACACTGAAAGAAGAGTACACTTTAAAGACATGGCAAGTGCATAAATACCTAGAAAGAAAGGGTAACTGATCATGTACCTTGTGTAGACTGTTGGTTAGAACTAGTATTTAATTAAATTTAGTTTCTCTGTCATGTTTCCACTGGTTTTAACTTACAGTTGTGCAGAGATGCCAAGGAAACCTTTTGCAAGTAAAGGACACAAGAGTGACATAAATAGTTTGCTACATCCATAAAGAATATTACCCAAACTAAGATATGGACCAAAAGTTATGATTATGAGAGTAGATATTGCTGAAACCATTAAAACCCATGGGAGTCTTTACACACAAGCAAATTCTGAACAAAATTCTTGAGGACTGGTGCACTGTTCATCTGGCTCTGAAATCACTGAGCAAAATGAATTATGGATTTTTCTTTAGACGTTATGCAACAATAATAATTTACATCTTTACAGGCTCCTATAAAAATATTAGCTAATTGCTGTGGAGGTAATAAGGAGAGGAATCAGTTACTGTAGTTGGATGGGAACGCCCTACAGTGCTTTCAGACACAGATGACCAGATATCCTGCGTGGCAGAGGCCCGCCCCCCCCCCCCCCCCTCCCGCCCCATGCCAAAAGCTGGTCCTTGTAAGCAGCACCTCAGGGACTCCCTAGCCCAACAAAGCAAAAGATCTATTCAGGATTGCCTGCAAAATACTGCTCCATAATGATGGGATAATGAGCCTTGGGCTAAAGAACTTGTGCAAACATCTGGAAGAGAAGAAAGTAAAAGCAAAACACTGAAAATAAGCCACAGGGAAGGAAACTTTGACAGAGAAAATATTAGACTGGGAGAAATGACAGGAAAAGAGAAAGCAGGTAGGACAGAGAACAACACAGCAGAACAAACCCCAAGTGGCAATTGTAAGGATTATCGAGCAAGGTGTTCTATACACCTAGAAATAAAGCCATTGCCCCACATTGCAAATTAAGGAAGTTCAGGCCATTTAATACAATGACTGAGACAGTAAGTCTCTTTTACAATGGAGGTATTAAGTGCATTTCTGTAGGAATTATCATGGTGACAAACTTTATCTTTTATAACAAACCTAAATGAGAACAGCAAATAGAGGAAGGAAAAAAAAAAGGTGGTATACTAATATATGGAGAAGCTAAAAGAGAACAGAAGAAAGCAGAGCAGAAGGAGCAGAACCAAAATACAGAAAGAAAAATCTGCAATAAAAAAGCCCACAGAGGCTAATTCTAAATGGCACTTTTAAATTCTCTGGAACCTGAAAAGAACACATCTCAAAGACAGGATAAGATAATTTAGGTTAGAAGGTTAGTCCAACCTCCTACTCAAAGCTGGGTCATTTTCAAAGTTAGGTCTGGTTGCTCAGGGCCATGTCTCTGGAGATGGAGAGCCCACAACCTACCAGCAACCTGTTCCAGTGCATCATCATTCTCATTCTGCAAATATCTTCCTTATGTCTAAATGAAACTTCTCCTGCTGCAGCTTGTGTCTATTGCCTATTGTCTTTATGAATCATAGAATCATAGAATGTTGGAAGGGACCCCTAGAAGTCATCTAGTCCAACCCCCCTGCAGTGAGCAGGGACACCGCTAACCAGATCAGGTTGCTCACAGCCCCATCCAACCTGGCCTTGAATGTTTCCAGGGATGGGGCCTCCACTATCTCTCTGGGCAACCCATTCCAGTGTTTCACCACCCTCATTGTAAAGAATTTCTTCCCTATATCCAGTCTAAACCTACCCTGATTTAGTTTAAAACCATTACCCCTTGTTCTGTCACAGCTGGCCCTACTAAAAAGATTTTCCCCATCTTTCCTATAGGCCCCCTTTAGGTATTGAAAGGCTGCCACCAGGTCTCCCCGCAGCCTTCTCTTCTCCAGGCTGAACAAGCCCAACTCTCTCAGCCTGTCCTCATAGGAGAGGTGCTCCAGCCCTAGGATCATTTTTGTAGCCCTCCTCTGGACCCGCTCCAACACTTCCATGTCCCTCTTGTGCCGAGGGCTCCAGAGCTGGACGCAGTACTCCAGGTGAGGTCTCACCAGAGCAGAGTAGAGGGGCAGAATCACCTCCCTCGTACCGAGGGTTACCCCGACCCAGGTGCATGACCTTGCACTTGGCCTTGTTGAACCTCATGAGGTTCACACAGGCCCACCCCTCCAGCCTGTCCAGGTCTCTCTGGATGACATCCCGTCCTTCTGGTGTGTCAACTGCACCACTCAGTGCTGTGACCGTCTGAGAAGACTTTGACTCTGTCTTGCATATTATCTCTCCATTGGGTGGGGCAAGACAGCAACTAGATCCCTCCTTCACCTACCAGAACCAGCTTGCTCGGTGTCTTTTCCTACTTCACATGCTCCAGCTCCCTATATATCCCAGTGATTCTCCACCAGACTCACTCTGGTTTGTCAATTAAATATTAATGAATAGTATAAAACAAAACAGTATTTTATGTCATTGTTGGTGGCTTTTTTTCTGCTTATAAGGCACTTTCGTAATGTCCCAGTATCAAAGCATTTGAATAATGACAAACAAATGTCTACAACTCTAGAATGAAGAAGGTAAAATATTAATTCCCTTATCCCTGAGTAAGGAAATATGTCACATAGAAGATGGGAAATTTTGTTCAGTGTCACACAGAAAACACAATCCAAGACTTCAGAACCCTTTTCCCTCATTAAATCGAGTTTGTATTTTCAGTTTGAATTTCAAATATTTCAGTGCTGGTGAGGATGTAACTGACCTCCAAAATTCCCACATACCATACTTCACAAAAAGCTATTATTTTCTCATGACATTCAATAAAAATATTTTATTAGCTCCTTTGTAAGAAAAAGAATTACTTACTGCCTTCCCATGTGCAGTGTAAGAGATTCAATGCCCCCTCTACTCTTTTCCAGTGTTGAAGATGAAAGAAAGCATATGCTATTGCTTCACTGTCCCCTCTCTTCAGAATATGTTCAGGGGGCAGAATTAAGCTTTTCATTTCTAGTAGATACTGCAATAAAAAAGCAGAGCACAATTATTTCAGAGGTAATAAAAACCACAAAAAGCTGCCTGCAATTCTACAGTTGCACACTGAAAGGTCTATTTCCCTAAAGTACATTCCCTCATAAGTGTTTCATCAAATGTGCAACATCACCAACTGCACTTGAAGCTAATTATTGAATTATTCCCAAAGACCAAGATATGCTGACAGATGGTTAATGTTCTGCTCTTCAGCTGTAGTAAGGGGACTACAGAGAATTTCAAAATGAGATGTCTCTCTTATCAAAGGAGAGGGGAAAAAAGGGCTCAAAGCAGAAAAGAGAATCTAATTACAAGAGCTTTTTAATTAAAAGCGTTTATAATAAAATGAAGAAGACATTAAACAGCTTGATGCACATAGTCTTTGCATAAGGAAACACGCGGTACTCTTAGTTTGCACACAGGTTGCTTTACTGCATTGCCATCAACTGGTCGCCAGGGCTATGAATCTGCAAAGCTGGCAGCCACCTAAGTAGCCACCAACAAGTTACAAAGTAAAAAAAGTTACAAAATGTAACAAATACCTGATTTCCAGGAAAAAAAAGTATTGGATGTTTAAGCTTGCTACTTGAAATACTTACTGAAACAGTATGAAAATGAAAGGCACCACTGACAAAAACCACAAGCAATTCTTCCCATTAACTGGATCCCCCATAACAGAAGCAGATGAAACACACAGAGGGTTCAGGCCACAGAAGAAGACAGAGGTCCTGGACATTATTCAAGCAGGTGATTTTTCCTCCTTTCCCGTGAACTAGACCGCTACCAGTTCAACAGACTTCATCTCATCACTAACGTTTCTAGATTCCAGTTAGTGGAGGGGATAGGTAACAGCGGAGGGGAACGATAAATCCCTTGTTGGCATGCTTTACAGGGAAAGGCGGACAGAAATCACAGGCTGGGGGGAAGTGTAAGGCATCCCAGCTGTGTGCTGACTGCTCTTCAATAGCACAAGGAAACTGTCGCGCTCTTCCAGGATGCCCAAGAGCCAATGTCCTCCCCACCAGACTATTTAAGTTAACACAAGCGGCAGCAGGTGAGTCAGGCAGTAGGCTGTCAGGCCCCAACACAAGGTTCAGAAAGGAAAGTTATGGTTAATCACTGGCAAAAAGAGAGTGAGCATGCAGCCCCTCTGCTTCACTGAGGCCTCTGCTTTGGTCTGGATGGAGGAGGACTGCAGGACCTAGGGCTGACAACAACCCAGGGCAGGCACCCAAGAGAAATCAACTTGGGACCAGAGGTGGAACAGAGGCCTGGGTGGTGTTAACCTTCCACAGCTCCTCTTAAATGCTGACTTTTGTGACCGGGGGATTGCAGGGCATGCTTGAGCACCCGTTCAGTGTGTGAGTTGGTGCAGAAAAGAGGAGAAAAGAGGACAAAAGAAATACATGAGAATTGAAAATCAGCCTTGGAGAAAGGAAGAGGAAAGGCCAGAGAGAAATGAGCACAAATAGCATGATTCACGGAGGGCATCCTAGAGCTAGTCACCCCTTCACCTGAAGGAGCTAGCAAACAGGTAAAGGATTTGAAGAGAACTGTCAACTCTGGGAAACAGATAAAGACTTCAAAGAGGAAAGAGAAATCACGTGTGTTTCTGATGCAGGTAACAGTATTAAAGGAGGAGAAACTGAGTTAGTAGTGGGAATAATATGTGTGACACTTGGATTTTCTCAAAAGCCTTTCAGAAAAATTTGAGAGCTGCAGAGCAGGTGGATTAATGGAGGAAGCTGCAATTTAGTAGGCAGGACAGGGGATGAAGAGTGACAGAGAGAACAGAATAAAGAGCTGACAAGAGCGAGGGAGCTGTCAGGCTTACAGAGGTACAGCAAATGTTCTTATTCTCTGCCCTAATGAATGTGCCACCCTGTTAAAAACACACACTGTACCTGTTGAGCAGAATGGAATACAGCTGCAAGAGCTGCAGGTTTCTATCTGTTTTATTAATATAGAACATAACTCTTATTTCCACATTTTTTTCCAAAGTAAATGAGAAAGTAAGTTCTCATATTTAAATGTTTCAATCAAAGGAAAAAAAAAAACCACAACCCCAAAGCCATGTCACTATTAGTAGGAAAAGAATAACCGGGAAGGAATGCCCTACTTCAAGGAGCACTGACATGAAAATGTGTTATTTTGATTTTTAAGTATTGCTTGTTATCAGCGATTAAAAACAAATCAAATGGAAATACCAGATGGGAGAATATATCTTGACACTTGCAAATCATTCTTAGCCCTCACTCAGTTGTGTTGGCTTTTCAGTCTGCATTTTTCTCAGTTACAGAAAGACAAGCCTATTTTTAAAAGTTCCTTAGATCAAAAATGTGAAACACTCCACCCTCATTACTCTATCACAGCTACTTTCCCAAATAAAAAGTCCATAATCTGGTTTGGTGATATTCAAGAAGACCCACACATGCAGTTGATGGATGGCTCAAGTCTCATTTGGGCCTCATAATAGTTTTTGTTTTATGGACAAAGGCCAGCCACACCTTTTGGGCATACAAGCTGTCAATGAATTTATTCTGGAGGCATTTCCAGCAGGAACGCTAATTGTACACAGCCCCAGAGAGGCCTCGTCTGGAACACTCTGTACAGATCTCATCAGGCGCTTTCAGAAATGTAAAGATCAAATTCCACGAGTACGGAATCGAGCTAATCAAAGAAATGGCAAGTCTGCTTTGCAAGAGGGCACTCGAAGGCCTCCATCTGTTTAACTTCTTGAAACAGGAGTAACAGGTACCAAAAAGGTATCTAGCTGTACGTGGGGCTTGATTATTACGGAAGGAAAGATATGACTGTCCATGAAAATTAGGATGGTCTTGATGTCCTAGAAAATCATATATCCATTCATGCATTGCTGTATTTTCAAGGTGAGTTCAAGAACCTGGAGGGGATTCAGGTTCCTGGAGGTTTGACTGACAGGGCTCAGGGTCTACTTGGAGGTAGCATAGCCAAGGGCAGCCCCCTTTCACGGCAACTGCAGGCTACTGGCACCCAGACACTTGACAGGCAGGACTGAGTCCCAGCAATCTGCTGGGTTTCTAGCAGATCGTCCATGAAATCAACACAGTCCCCTTAAACATTCTGGATTGGACAAGCAAGCAAATTCCAGTGAAATGAAATTCAATGAAAAAAAAAAAATCTTTCTTCAAAAACTATACGATAAGCTGCAGGCCTCATGCTGCACATACAATGTGTGAATCACAGTCCTGATGGATTTCTGCACGTAACAAACATCTCCAGCTCTTGGAAAAAAATCAGCCAAAGACATCTGATTGTAGTTTCCAAGAGGGTGCTATTGCACTTAATCAAAGATACTACGCTAGACAGATACAGTCTTCTTTTCAGCCACCAAAGACTTCAGGGTGGGAATCTGACTATTTGTATCTCAACGTTTCCAAAGGCCTCAGTCCAGAGTGCAGCCCTTGTTACAGGACTAATATGGACATGAGATCCTACCATACCACTAAAATTCATACCAGTGTGAACTCCATCTGGCTTTGCAAGAAAACAATCTACACCTCTTGACAGACTCCCTGCTAACTGTAACTCCCGATACACTGGCATCCTCTCAGATTCAACCATGATCTTTACAACTTAAGTAATAAAAGTTTACTACCTTTTCAATACTTTGAATACACAGGGAGCCCTCTGTCATCCTGACAGGGCTCGGGACCCAAGCCTGGTTCCACTTCACAGTGAGAGTCAAGTAACAGGCTAAAGAAAAAACTTAGCAAAGAGCTAGCCATCATGGAGGAAATGGAGATAGCAAGCACAGCACATCTCCAACTGCATTTGTTTTTCAATGACAAATGAAGAAGTTCAACGAGAACAGGAAACAGCATGTCACCGCCACCCAGGGTTATCATCCTCCTTTAAAAAAGGAATCAGCTCAGAAAAGATAGTCTAGAAAATTACAGCCAGAATGACTTAGTCTTAGTCAAGTTATGAGGGAATACTACGGTTGCGCAAGGATTTCTGTCATCAACAGATGGTTCAATACAGCCCTTCTCCACTGCATTGTTTTGGCTTGGATTTTTTTGGTTGTCTTTTTTGGTTTTCTGATCTCTCTTTTCTCTCACCCCAAACTTTTTTCCTGCCAAAACCCTGTGTTTTAGGAGTTACAACAAGGGTAACAGTATTTTTTCATGGACTTCCACAGAGGGCTTCTGGAACAGTTACATGACATTGCAATAGATATTGCTCAGCTACAGCCATTCTGTACACGTATGGGAATATGCCTTTTAACAAGCATTGAGAGGATGACAACAGACCTTGTACACATGAAGTGCAACATGGTAGAGTTTATACTTCTCTTACTCGAATTGATGGAAAATAAATTATTTATTTCATAATATTGACAACACCCTGGCTACTAGTTCTCTTCTGCTGGGAGTGCTTTTAACATTCCACATTAATGAGCTACTTCAGTGCTCTTTTATAAAACAAATCAACCTATCTCAGGCAGGTTTCCTTCTTTTCCTCAATTGTGCAATTTGCCTCTGAAATTACAGCTCAGGCCGCAAATAGGCAACAGTCACTCCTGCACCTGTAACAGCATCCCTCCAGGCCAGAATATGAGAATTTAACATTGTTTGAACAGGAACTCTCCTCCTCCCAGTGGGATGAACAGCACAAGCTTAAAACAGTTCCAAAGTACCAGTTTCTACATGCCCAGAGAAGCCACTTCTAGGTCACCTTGCAAATTCTCCTCGGATTGATGGTAATTAAGAAGTTTGGCCTTTTTGCTGGAGATACAAAACCAAATCACTATCTCACCGAACAGTTAAAAACTCTCTTAAACATGACTGGAATAGTTTCTCTGTAATATCATGGGGTGTGCAGAACAGATTCATTTCCCATCTGGTATATGAATTTGTTTGCATTATTTGTTTCTATTAGCAACTACAACTTACTACAAACCACACAAGCATACAGACAGACACAGTTCTTCTTAAAAAAAAAAAAAATACAAAAGAATTGAGAAGGGACGAAATGGAGAACAGACAAATCTTTAAAAGTGTTTAAGTCAATGGTTTGTTATATCCTTCTAAGGAACTGTTTACACACAAAACTAGCATTTCTTAAAGCGATATCAATATGTAAGTTATCTGATTCAAATGCAGCAAACTTCAGCAGGTACTCTCCTTAAATCAACTTAGCTCCTGGCTTACATAGCAAACCCATACAACTATGCACACAGCATGCTTCTGACTTACTTTTAACAATTAGATATATAGATCACCATCCTTTTTCTCTTCCCTTTGACTTTACTGAATAGCTTGTGTCTCATAGATCACAGAAAAGAGGGGCTTTTCAGGAGGAGTTTGAATGCAGGGAGGGAGCTTTGCAAATCAGTTCGGAAAGGGTGTTCCACAATTGAGGAATGTCCCAGAAACAGCTGTGGTACTTTATCAGCATTAGCTTGGGATAGTTGCATTACATATGAGTGGGGAAGCTCCAAATACAACATATGAATAATACTGATGAAGTCGTGTGTGTATACACATATACTTTTTTTCCCCACCCACTCCACAGATTATGTACTCTCCATGACATAGGATGTACTACTCTCTCTTCCATACAAAATCCTCTGGAATTGGATACCCCAACTGTTTCAACGGAAATAAAAACCTTTGTGTTTAACTCTTAAATTTTTCAAGAGCACATTGTCAGACAGTGTCAGCACATTTCCTTGGAATCAAAACTCCACAGTGCCATGGTACTATACTAAAACAAAATGATACAAGTCCATAGAAGCTCATTTAAGGCAAAGATGGCAGAAAAGAAATTCAGACAAATCTTCACAAACAAGTGATACAATTTGTTTTGATTCTTCTCATCGTGAAATTCACAGCTCTCTGCTTTGTTCTCTTTCCTGCTGTACTGCTGACTTCTGGTTGTGTTTTTCTTCTACTAAAAAGAACCCTGAAAATGCTCTGCCTGGTGAAGTGCTTTCTTTTTACAAAAGCAATCTCTGCCAAAGTATAAAGCTGCAATTTGCTGTAGCTGAGTTGTTTCAGTAACAGAAACAAAACAAACTGTAGACAGAAGTAATATCTTTTATCAGATATTTTTTCTGGAACAGCTTAAAAATCTAGCTACTTTCAAGCATAGAAACCTTTTTACAGGTAAGATGTCTTCAGAATGAGAAGTCTTGATCAGTTTGCCAGCAGTTCCATGTCTGTTGTAGTCAAGACGGAGATCATAGTTGACATATCTGAGCTGGCCTTACCCTGGACAGCTCAGCTTCCAGAAACAACACAGCCAGGTCAGCTGCCCAGCTTCCTGGAGGGATCTGGCAGGCTGCACTGAGCTCTGTATTGCCTTTGTTCACTTAAGCCAAGTTCTGATACCTCCACGTGTCACATCTTGACTCCAGTGTACTCCAAAAACCAACGAGAATTTATCACCCATGGCTGAGACTTAATGGACTGATGCCTGTGAATTAAATTGTCATTGAAATGTAATCAAAAAGGGAAGAAGAGATCTGTGTCAAAAGAAGGTTATTTGCTGGAAGGGTGGCTGCCTGAAGACAGACTGTCAGCCACATTAGGTCTCTGTAAAAGGCATTTTTGTGTAGACAGAAAACAAAAACGAAGGTGATACATAGTCATCTAGAACCAATGAAAGCTGGTGCCAACATCATCATGAAATACATACTAAAAAGACTCACAGAAACATGCATACACACAGGTTTCTATGTGGCAGGTAGGTGTTTTTGCAGGGTTTCTCACCTCCATGTAAAGATGGAAATCTGGGACTTTTACACTGCTGCTGCTTAAGAGATTCCTACATCTTTAGATTACATTCAGAATAAAGTGTAAGAAGTATATCTGACCTCTGCAACATCACTATGGAACACTGGATGGCAATCTGGCCACAATCTCCTAGGGAAAAAGTTGTTTTACACAAACCTGCAGTAGGTCACAACGGGAGACCCAGTCTCCCTTTCTTGCTAAATCCAGCTCAGTAGTATCTCTCAGCACATTCAGAGTGTGTTCCCTACATGTCCTTTGCCTCAGAATCTCGTTAGCAAAAATCTGCCATTTCCAGTTAAATGTCTTGGAAATGCATATCCAGTAATCTTTTTAGGTGGTAATTCTAAATTTTAATGATTTGCACTGAAAACGGTAAAGTCTCCTTTTGAGGCAAACCAGAAACATATAGGAGTAATTTTTTTTTCTCTCTAACAGTGCAGTTCCCTGCTTTCCAGGCTTCTGCTGGGATCTTTGCAAATGTTTTAAATAATTTGTCACCTTTGTAATTTATTTCTTCCTCAGTCTGAACAGGAGACTCATTAGTGTTTAAATCCTAAAGAAGCCTTGAAGACATATTAGTTTTGTGGCACTGTTAAGATTTCTTATGATGCTGCTTGATAAAACTGATCTCTATTTTGTTAAGAACAAATTGGAGAGCCCTTCAATCATAGCTCAGTGGAAACTGAGATGTAATATCCATACTGTGCGCAAAATTATAACCAAAACCCTATCTTTGCCACCTTAATATCCTTTAGCTAATAGCAGAAAGAATGAGTGTGAAATCAGCAGTGCTGCGTATTAATCTCTATTAGGCTACACTGTCTTAATGTTAAAATATGAACTAAAAAAACCCTAGAGTCTGCTCCCATTACTATGTTGTTATCCTGATAATTTTTGTTACACAAAGGTTTTCAATTTCAAAATGACAGACTTTGAAAAACCGAGGGAATCAATTAGCAATGTGAACTGACTGAAAAGCTCAGGAACTTAAGTGAGGAAGACGACTGGCATTTATTTAAATCAAAAGTACTGAAAATACTGAAAATAACACACAATCTGCATTTCACACATGGGGATACTTATCAGAAAGAAGATTCAGCCTTGTATTAAACAGCCACCTAAGCAGAAGCTGGCTAGTGAGAAGGAGGTCACATGCAATGAATGGAAGTACTGATCTACAAGAAGAAGCAGGATCTTGGAGGTCTGGAAGCGCAGAGGTTATGGAGCAACTGCCACAGCTTACAGTAAGGTAGATCTTGCAAAGGAAGTCAAACCAAAGAAGAGCAAGGTCTTAAGTATAAATAGAAAAAGAACACGGAAAAAGGTACTAATTGAAGACAGCCTCAGTTTCATGGCAGTGCAGAGCAGGATGGACATTAGCAGCATGTACAGAAGCAGAGACCACTGCAGCCAACAATCTCTGTCCCTGAACAGTGAATAAACCAGTCCCAGAAATGGCCAGACTACCATAACTGACTTAAAACAAAAAAAGAAATCCCCACTCAGAATCAAGTGGGCCAGTGATGAGAGAAGTAAATGCAATGCCATTCATTTAAAGAGGGAAACAATATGTGTTACCATGGAATCATTAGTATGCAAACTGTTAAAAAGGATTTTGATGGAAAGAATTATCAAAAGCATGGAAGTAAGTGAGGAAAATGGAACAGGCTCCCAAGGATTGCTCGTGACAGCTAAAGCTTGGCAAGATAGCTAATTTTTTAGACAGCAAGCATAGAATACTCTAACTGGGTTTCAGTGAAACATTCAGGAACGTTCACCCAGAAAAGGACTGGGATAGAGAGTTAAACAGGCTACCAGGCAGAAGAGAAGTATCAACGGTTGTGTTGGCACAAGAACCATTGAGATGGAGGAAAGTAAACAGAGTTCCACAGAAGCAGTCCTGGAACCAAACTTCATTTAATATTTTCATTTTATAGCTTGGCACAAAAACAGAAGATCAGCTAATAATACAAAGGGACTCATCTCACCTAAATCTTCTTGTCTAAAAATCAGGCTTTTACTGGAAAATAGTTGCTCCTTTCATAGTCAGTGTAGAAACAGGCACCTCGGAGGGAAAGTCTGTCTAGAGATGTCTAAGATAGTTCCTTCTTTCCACTGCCTGTAGAGGAAGTCTAGATGATTTTATTAAACAAACAGCCTAACTGTCAGATAGCTAAACCATGCTATTTAGTGGCTGGCAGAACAGATATAGCTCACAGAGAAAATATTTAATTCCTGCAACACATGAGAATGAACTTTCTGCAATCCATGTGTACATACGGGAGAGGTTTGAGGTTTATCTGGACCAGACTTGGTGTTCAGCTGTACGTAATGAATAGGCTCCCTACATTAACACACACCAGTCTTCTACTTTCCAGTGGAGGCTGCCTACTTTCTAAGGGCAATACTGGTCCAAAGGTTCATGGGGTGAGGTTCAGAGGCAGATCTCCAAGGGCCAAAAAGCATCTGCCTCTAATTTGCCTTTACAATGAACTTGTAGACTGTAACACTGAGTATCAGGTGACGAAATAATAAAGTGTATAAGCCCTTAGTAGCCCCTGGGCAAGATTCTTACTGCCGAGATACATATCTAGACAGGGGATTAGAGAATTAGAACATAAATCCCTTTTCTTACTTTATAGTTCTCAGCAGTTCTTCATCTCTGAGCTTTGCATTCTCAGAACTTAATGACAGGGTGCTGCATAAGGAATTACTAATGCAACTTATATGAAGCACACCATGAACTGCAAACCTAGGTTCCTTTGTATAGCATGCCAAAACCACATTCTTACATGTAATCATCAAAACAAATAAAACATGCTATTTTGAACTAGAAGATCTTTAATGGCTGTTTTGTAAATAATAATAATCTGTCTTTATGTATGGTTCTGTCCTGCAGCATAGCATTTGGTGATGTCTACTACTGCAATTCACCACGTAATTGTTGCTCACATAGAGGACTCACTTCAGCTAACATTTCAGTTGCATGGTCCAGAGTAGAAGACACTGAATGTGAAATAGCAAATGAAAAAACAGTGCATACTATCACCTTATTTCCCTTCACATTGTTTGCTCCCCTTTCCACAACATCACTCATTAATCTAACACAGAAATCAGGAGTTAGGTCCTCAGCAGTGTTAAGGCTACAACAATGCTTTCTCCATACTCACTTTTGGCACGTGTGGATTAAATTCTACTGCTCTGTGAATAGCTTCTACTGCATTCATCTCTGCAGTACTCAGCCCTCGCCTTGAGGCAGCCTCTGGAGAAAATCTACAAAAGCAAAGAAACAAACGCATTAGGTCAGAAATGCTAGTAAGAAAAAGCCAGAAAAGGAATCTAGAACATGGGCCCATGTAACCAAACTGAGTCAATTTCCTATGCTCTCCAAACTTCCATAACAAGTGGAAACTCCGAGTGATCTATTACATCAAGGCCAATGAAAATCCCAGCAGCAGTGGAAAGCATGTTTGCATCTAATCATGGCAGAAAGTCAGTTCAAACAGTCCTATCTCTGTCGCTAATCTAAATTTACTCTAGGTACCTTGCTAAGGGGCATATTCAAGGCTGAAGTTGCAGAAAAAAGAAAAGCAAAAAAAAACCCACCACGATGCCAAATTATTGTTGGAGGGTTTCTATTAAAAACAGTTTGGGGAGGTTTTAGGGAGGTTCCCAACCCAATGCCCCTGGGTCAGGTTGGGATGGAAGCACGATGCAGCAGCAGTAGCGGGTGGTCTACTGGCCGCAGCACCATCGAGGGTAGCATGCCCAAACTGTGGGCAAATCATCTGCCCCAGTGAATGAAAAACCAGACCATGCAATCTCTTTCTCACCTCACACCCCACGGCTAACTCCAGAGCTGTACTTGGCAGGCAGACACCACAGGGAAAGCTGTGACAACCTTAGCCCTGCCCTCCCAAGCTGGAGTCGCTGTGTAGGGAGGAAAGATGTTGCAGTAGGTACTGGCGATCTACAGGATAAAAAGAATGAAAGAAAATTACTTAGATCTTGATGTGTACATACACGTTAAAAGCAAAAACTGTCAGGATGTCAGTCAAGAAAATGGCTTTCCACTCTACTTGCTTTCCAACTTTAGGGAGGCATTCGACCCTCAGGTGCACAGACACAACTCTGCCTGGGATTTGTGTGAAGGCATCTGAGAGCAGAATTGGGACTTTTGAGCTCCATCTCACAAGGAGCTGAGCACCCTTTCAGAGTGGGCCAGTGCTCTCAAGTCCACAGGCATCAAGTAGATGTGCTCAGCACCTTGGAAGGTTAAGACCCAAGAGAAAACCATAACAGGAATGAGCAGATATTTGTGTGTCTAAAAATATGAACGTCATCTACCTCTCAGAATCCCTGACATAGTAATGCTAAATCCACCTGCTGCTATTTAAGTAGATGAGCAGTCTTCTCACAGCACTTGTAAAATGACATTGCTACCAGTGCATCCACATTTATTTATTACCTTTTTGTGGTCAGGTTTATACAAAGTTGAAGAGGTTCAGCCACACAACACCTTTTAGTTGCATCTTCATTATACTATCTAGGAAGCCAAAGCTCACCCAGACAGTATACATAAAACTGAAACAAGAACTGAATTTATGCTATTTCTCTTCTTTTCTTCTTCTGTAGTATTTGAAGTGCAATGTTTGATCATTACAAATCTTTCATATATATAAAGTTATTTTATGAATTTACTGCAGGACTGAATTCTCCTGCTAACCCAGCAGATTGTTAGGGTGTGGGCTCAGCTAAGAGAGATCTTGAGTTAAATCAGGAATTTTGCTGGACAGTGGTTCTTATGCACTTACTTGTCAGAGACAGCTCTGGCTTTGAGCAATGCAGCTGTGTAACATATCGTTGCTGATTTTGGTAAGCTTATATCTGTTGAAAAGAAAGAAAAAAGTAAACATCTGAAAATTTAAAAGTCTGCAAAAAGAAAAGTGTTTGATTGATACTTCAGAGTAGGCATGGCATACACAAAATTATTACATGAATTCAGAATACTTTCTGATCTCGGGACTTGTACTCCCACATCATACGGATTTTTAAAATTTCCTCCCAATACACAGGTTTTTGTGTTAGTGACCACTGGAACTACTATTTAAGCAGCAACTGGGTTCATTAGAGAACTAATTCTAAGAGTGACATGACAGAGAAATAATGAAAGAATTCATTACTTCATACATAAATGTATAGGTAACCTGGAATACATGAATTTTTCCATAGTTCACAAAACATCTAAGCAATAGCTGAGGGCTACCTTATTCATTCCTCTTGTTTTCACTCAGAAGCAGTTGTCTAATATGAATATGTGGCAGCTATACAAGTTAAGACAGCTATTTAAGTAATAATGGATTTGACTTGCAAGCAAACAACCATTAGATTCATTGCAGTTAAAGACCAACAGTAAAATAAGGTGGTTTGCCTCTTAAGGAAATCTTCGATCAAAATATTCACCAGACAGTCTCTGGACATTTTATGCTGTTCCAGAGACATACAGGATCCATAAACCTGACTTAACCCATTAGTTTAACTTTATTTATACCTGTTCTCTACCAGTAGAATGGCACAAAGCATCCAAAAGGTAGAGAGAAATGCTGCTTAACAGACTTGAGCTATAGATTCATTCCCACTGTTACAGAGAATTAACTTCCACACTAGTAATCTACCTAGCAGACACATGTTATATAGTGACTGAAATATTCCAGTATTAAAAAGTTAAAATTATAGTTAAATGAACAAAAAAACCCTTCAAAAAACAACCCCCACTAAAGGCTGGATTCTGCAAGCACTTCTGCACACTGTAATAATATCATAGAATCATAGAATGTTTTGGGTGGGAAGGGACCTTTAGAGGTCATCTAGTCCAACCCCCCTGCAGTGAGCAGGGACACCGCTAACCAGATCAGGTTGCTCACAGCCCCGTCCAACCTGGCCTTGAATGTTTCCAGGGATGGGGCCTCCACCACCTCTCTGGGCAACCCGTTCCAGTGTTTCACCACCCTCATTGTAAAGAATTTCTTCCCTATATCTAGTCTAAACCCACCCTGTTTTAGTTTAAAACCATTACCCCTTGTCCTGTCACAGCCGGCCCTGCTAAAAAGATTGTCCCCCTCTTTCCTATAGGCCCCCTTTAGGTCCTGAAAGGCCGCAATCTGGTCCCCCTGCAGCCTTCTCTTCTCCAGGCTGAACAAGCCCAACTCCCTCAGCCTGTCCTCATAGGAGAGGTGCTCCAGCCCTCGGATCATTTTTGTAGCCCTCCTCTGGACCCGCTCCAACAGTTCCGTGTCCTTCTTGTGCTGAGGGCTCCAGAGCTGGACGCAGTACTCCAGGTGAGGTCTCACCAGAGCAAAGCAGAGGGGCAGAATCACCTCCCTCGACTTGCTGGCCATACTTCCTATATAGCTGTAGCTATAGGAAGCTGTATTTAGTATAGCTTCCTATAGTAAATATCAAATACACAGAGTAGTAAATACAAGGCACTAGAGTAGGCCCATTGTAAAAGGGAAGAGCAGCTAACGTGACTGTTATTCTAAGAAACTATTTAACCCTTAGTTTGTCTTTAAAGTTGATTAGAATGATGAAATTACCATAGAGCTTGGTTACTTTAGGGTTAAGAGAAACTTGTGATTTACTGAACCCCACTGCCTTGTAAGACAGGGCTGCAAAAAGGAATTAAAGAGGACCATCAAGTCATATCTCAGCAGTCACCATCCTTCACTTATTAACAACCAAGCAGAACATTCTGTTAGACAGGAAACATTGCCAGAATGACTGAGGCACTTTGAAAATGCTACATGTTAAATCCTCTCTGTTGTCTTTTTATGCACTTGCACTTCAAGTATAAGATGTAAAGATCTTGTTGGAGGCTCCCTTATAATATATTCCAACTATAATTTCACTGGAGTATGTAATTGTAGTGACTAAAGTAATTAAAATCAACAGCATGCAAAGTAGTCTGGGTGACAGATATGTTAATTACCGCACTAATGGAAGCTAGCCACAGACACAGACATGAGCATATCTTCAGTGATAGGAGAAAATATTTATAAGCACCTTCAATAATCCTGCTTATACCAGGTTTTCCTTAACATTAGGAACTGAAAGTTATTTCCAGTAAACCGAAATGATGTTTTTCGGAACATACTGGTCTCTGTCTTTCAGTATAAAACTTCATCAATCATAAACGGAGTGAAAGGTAGAGGAATGGAAAAGATAAAAAAAACCCAAACAAGAACAAACAAGAAAACCAACAACATGCTGTCATTTATAAGGTTTTCAATTGGTCAGTAGAATACCTTATTTTCCCCTTATCTGTAAGTGTTTCTCTGGGCCATCAGGCCACCATTACTTCATGGGAAATCTTTTCCTTTGCATCAGTTCAGATCTAGTAACGTTGGTTCAGGGTCCAACCTTTACAAAATTTTGCATGAATGACACATAACAAGAAGTCTACCTAGAAGTCCTTGGAAATACATTTTCCCAGGCAAAAGGCAAACGCCACATATAAAAAAAGGACCAAGAGGAGAATGTTTGCCCAGACTAATTTGAATAATGCAGCGAGAGCACCACTTCGCTTTTCTATCTGTTTGAGGGAGCTGAAACCTAGGAGGAATCGAGGTCTGGAGTATATAACTGATGCAGCAGAGGAAAAACAGTTGTTATGCCGATGAAAGCTGCTGGCTCAATTTCATCAAAGAAAGCAGGTATGCCAGCAAAAGCCAGAATGACAGCAAGAAAATGACAATTCAGCCATTAATACATAATCCATGAGGTTAAACAATGAAACCACTCAACACACAACCCCCCTCTAATCACATGTATAAAGGATAGTTTCTGCATCAGATCATTGATACTGGAATGGAGAATGTTCAGCAGAAGTTGCATGGATCAAGTTGTGAGGATTATTACAATTCTTGGCTAAGAGATTAAGACAGCATACAGTAGGAACTGAGCTTGATACAGGGTTAAATACACTAAAACAAAACACCATATCACAAAACAGTGTCTTCTGCTAAGTACTCCTGAGTTGGAAATATCTGTGCATATAGATTGCAGGATGATCCACAATGAACTGCTGGCATCTGTAAGGAAGGGAAATGTGGTGAGGTGAGGTAAGGTAAGGCTCAGGTACACCACCTGAGTCATTCCCGCAGAAAAAATGGGATTTCTCAAGGAACGTTGTGTTCAAATCCGATCACCCATGGTCAAGAAAAACAAAATCAAACAAAAAGACTGGACTGTTTTCGTAACAATCCAAATGAAATAAAGTCTGAGAGAAGATACAACTGTTCCCTATGCATAACCACAAGGAACACCAGGAAAGGAGAAGGGCTGCTTAGGTACAGGATAAAGTTGGCACAAGAATAAACAGTTCAGAATTAAATTTAGGCTGGAGATTAAAAGAAGGTTTCTAAGAAGTGAATTTTTGAGGCAGATTTCCAGGCAGAACAGTGGGGCAAACAAAATAGCTAATTCTAGGGTGGAGCTTGCTCAGGTCATGGAAGCAGTAATACCATGTAGTGAATGCAACAGCGGGGGACCTGACTCACCCAGGAGGCCTCTTCCAGTGGTGTGCTCCTAATGAGCATGCAGAAATTATTTGAGGGTAATACCTACACTCCCTTGGCAATGGAAGAAATATAAAGACATGTACAATTTTATTTTGCTGTGGATATGGCCCTCAGTAGGTCCATGCCTGCTTCCCTCCAAAAGCGTTTTGCTTTTTGTTTGCTCCGTATTAGACCTTAAGTATTTGGTTCTGCTACATCCTGGTCTGATAACTACAACACGTCAAAATCCTCATATCATTTAGGCTTCATTTGCAAAACTGGACCCTCACGTTTTAGAGGAAAGCATAAAACAATTATGTCTGGTTACAACTTGAATTTAGCAAGGGAATTGAGTATAAACTAGCCCTAGGAGATACATCCTCTGTCAGGAACCAAAGTGAAGTTTTTCCTAAATGACTGTGTGCAGCTCTGTGAGCCATCTGGCAAAATTTCTTCACATATACTGTTTCCCACCCTCCTGTGATTACTTGGGGAGCTCCCACAATGTGCTGAAAGATGTGACTGCTATTCTGTTGTCAAAACCATCAGGACATTTTTGCCTAATAAGATGTGTCAATCTAAAAAAGGCTCTCCTTCTTCCCTATTACTTGTATCTTTAAACAGAATACAAAACAGTCTAGACTTGATTTTATATAAAAAAGCATTTTCTTTTGATTAGCCCCAGTCAGCTACAGGTGGGAAAGTGAGCTCTTACCGGTCATTTGCTTCATAAGTGGTTGCTTGTGATAGTGAACTAATGGAAAGATACTACGGATAAAGACTTGCAACCACAACATCTCTACTTCTCTGATTCAAGATATTCAGCATATGCCATGTATCATTTAGATAGGTCATGGGATCTATTGTTTTTATAAAATAGCAACTAAACCAACAAATGATGAATCCGGATATGGACTGGTGCAACATCCCCTATCCAAGTCATCAGAAGGCCCTAAATGTGAAGAGACAGACATGCTGCAATTGCTTTAATTATTAATAAATGTAAAATCTAAGTCACTAATCAGAAATCATTCCCTATTTTGACCTCAAAGCATATGCTATTTCCAAGTCAACAATACAGATTCTTTAATTTCAGATAGCTGAATAGTCTTATCAACACTAATAGGACTTCAATATTTGCTGAAATACGCTGTAAATCTGGGACCATAATTTGCACAGTAAGATCCTTCCAGTCAAATTGCTAGTTCTTCTTCATATAGCACTGGAGAGAGACTACATTAAGCTGCTGGAATCATTCACATATTTCCAAACATGTAACTGAAAGTATATCAACAAACTGGAAGAAGTTACGTGAAAAGGTAAAACAGA